CTGTTTCTTAAAAGTTTCAAAGATACCATATGAATTTGGAGCCATTCTGAAAGCTAATTCTTCGAAAACTTCTTCAAACTCTTGCTTGCTTTTTGGACCATTGAAAATTTTAATACTCTAATTCATCTTTGATAATGTATACTTTCCTATCTTACCAAGATTTTCCATTTCAGGAATATGCAGTGTAATTCTTAAATCTTTACTAGATATGTAATGTTTTAACTTATGATTTTATTTTATCTTTATTCTGCTTTATTAACTAAATTTATCGGGGTGAAATAGCAATATTATGTACTTTTATTGCTTTTTACCAAGCACTAACTTTTAGCTTTGCAAATCAATTTTTCTGTTTTATGTAATTAGTTTATACTTTTACTATTTCTCATCACTTTCAGTGAGTTTATTTTATTGATTTTTTAACCTATTTTAAGAAGTCAGTTCATTTTCTTATTTTAAGTTTTTAACAAAGGAATTTGCCTAAATATCAGCTTACTTACATTGTATGGTTTTCTATTAATTTTTCACTGAGACTTCATTTACTTGTGTATTAAACAAACACTGAATTCTAACAATTTCCCAGCACTGTTATGGCATTCAGTACACAACAATGACAAAAATAGAAAATCTCAAGTCCTATGGTACTTGCAGCTAAGAGAGACAATCAGAAAGGTAAAACCAGAGTATGTAGTATATTGCTGAGAATAAATGACGGGGGCAGCCATGTGTACACGGGGGAGGGTGATGGAGGAGCAGCCATGTGTACACGGAGGGGGCAGGTGATGGAGGAGTAACCAGGTGTACACAGGGGAGCAGGTGATGGAGGAGCAGCCATGTGTACATGAGGAGGTGGGTACAGATGGAGAGTGGGCCTTTCAGGCGGAAGAAATCACAGTGCTGAAGGCACCAACTTGGCAGCCTGGAGGTTGTTTTTTTCTTTTTTAAACATTTTTTAATTGATTAATAGTCATTTTACAATGTTGTGTCAAATTCCAGTGTAGAGTACAATTTTTCAGTTATACATGAACATATATACATTCATTGTCACATTTTTTTTTTGCTGTGAGCTACCACAAGATCTTGTATATATTTCCCTGTGCCATACAGTATAATCTTGTTTGTCTATTCTACATTTTGAAATCCCAGCCTGTCAGCCGGGAGGTTTTGAAGAAATCAAAAGGTCGGTATGCATCAGGCATGGGATGAGGGGGAAGAGGACAGTGGGGGCGGTGGGTGGGAACAGCAGAGCAGGAGAGAGAAATGCCAGAGCTGTAACAGGACTTTTGGTCCCTGTAAGGACTCCTGACAGTGAACTGTGTCTGACTTCTGTGTTTCCTCTGGTTACTTTTATGGAAATAGACTAAAGCAGGGGATGTGGGAAGCAAGTTAGGAGGCTTTGTGAATAAAATCTGAATAAAATGTGGCAGCAGTGGAGATGGAGGTGGGAGAAAATGGGAAGATGCCTGTGAGACTCTGGCCCCTGCCGGGGAGACCAGCACTGTTGTTCATCTAGGTGGGAAGATGGGTGAGCAGGTCTAGAGTGAGGGTGGGGAGCAGACGGGGACCACAGGGTCCTCCCTCACTCCTAGCCTTCATTTACTCAATGAATAATGTAGGGGAGAATCCTTTATTTCCAAGTGGGTGCAGATGATTCATTTTTTTGTTTACAGATTTCTTAAAATGACAAGTTTCATTAGTATTAGTAGCAGCAATTACTGCCACTCACTCAGGCTGTCTCAGGCCCTGTGCTGAGCACAGTATTGGATTATCCCATATGCAATCACCCTAATAAAGTGTCTCACAGTTCAGGTACTTAAGGCTTAGAGAAACAGAGTCATTTTCCCAAGATGTGCTAGAGAGATGTGAGGTTAGAAATGGAGCCCAGAGCACTGCAGTCCAGACCCCACAGTGTGTGACTTCTGCTCTTGCAAATTTTCAGATTCTCTTCAGTGTAAAATTTGATAAACTTTTCTAAATATTCCATGTTATGTTTTGATCAGATTAATAATAATGCATTGACACTCCTAGTCTCCACATACTTTCCCCTTATTTCTAAGTTTGTTTTGTATACTTTGAAGTTATTCAATATTTTTTCAAGTTATAGCCTCATTGTACAAAGTTATTTTTATCAGTATTAAAAAGATTCCCTTTCTATAGCCTCATTGTACAAAGTTATTTTTATCAGTATTAAAAAGACTCCCTTTCTTACACATATGTTAGAAAAATCATGGATCATTTCTTGAAAGATACACAGAAGACCGGTCACACTGGTCAGCCCCAGGAAGGGAGCCACTGAGTCCCGACCCCACATGTCTCCTCTTGCAAGGATTGTCCATAAAGAAGGCGGCCCTTATTTTATGGCTTCTTTGGGAGGAGGGGGAGGATGGAGGTGAAAGCCATATCTGTGTTAGGTACCTGGCCTTTCAGGCTGACCTGTCATGGTTTGTACAGATTACACAGCTGAAATTCTGCCAAGACATACGTGAACTCTGGGGCCCTCCCATCCCACAAGAACAGGCAGACAGAAGCTTGTTCTCACAACTGAAGCAGCCCCGTTTGTGTTTCAGCTCTGATTTGGAAGGTAATTAAACTGTCAAAACACACTCCCTACGATTTTCATTTTCCTGCAGTTGGGATCACTTATTCAGGCCACTACCGTTACTGCAGGTTGACAGATTTAGTATAGGATTGGGACACCAGAACAGTCGGAAAATCATCAACAAACTCCCCATAAATGCGCCGACGGAAAGGAGTAACAATGTATCTCCCAATGAGACTACTACTTGTTTTATTTTTTTAATGAGCATTAGTCACATTAAAGTTAACCACTTTTAAAGACAATTTAAATCACATAAACATCACACATGTCATTCCCAACTACACCTGTGGGATCATACAGCTGGCATCACGACCACCCACCACCCTCTTCCCTAAATACAGCTTCACACTTGTCCTGCTATGGTTACGCGGCCTTGATCTTGACTGACAGACTAAAATGTCATCATTTCCTTCGTGTCCTGAAAGCCCCCTGACACCAGCCTCCAGGACACAAGGTCGGTGAGGCCCTGCTCAGATCTCCCTGAAACCCAGCTCCACAGCTGTGCTGTAGCCGAGGTTTTATATTCTTCCCACTCTTCTAAAAGTTATTTTTTATTTCCAGGTTTATTGAGCTATAATTGACATAGAACACTGGATAAATTTAAGGTGTATGGCATAATGATTTAATATACGTCTATACTGTGAAATAGTCACCACAATGAGTTATCATTAATCACCTCACAGTTACACATTCTTTCCTTGTGATGAGACCTTTTAAGATCTACTCTCTTAGCAGCTTTCATATATAAATAAAGTTACCGACAGTCACCATGCTCACATGACAGCCCCAGGACCTACACATCTTATAAGTGGAAGTCCGACCCCTTAGCACTCTTGTCACCTTCACTCAGCAACCCCTTCTGCAAGTTCTTAAAGGGCAGTGAGCACGTGTTCCTCAGACCCTCCTCATGTGAACACAGTGCCGCTGACTGCCTGGTGTTTTCTCAAAAAAGGGAGGAATGAACAGGGTCGGTCTTTCCTCTTTCCCCAGGAAGGTGTGTCCACAGGCCCTTCAGCTCACAGCAGGGCGGCCTGAGGATCTGCAGCACTCAGGGAGCTTGGCCCTTCTCTAGTTACACTGTGGACACCTCTGTATAGACTCACTACACTGAGAATCACTCTTCTTTACACAACTTCATTTTGCAGGTAAGGTGCAGAGGCTCTGGAGAGACAGTGGCTGCCCCAACCCCACAGACCTCAGGCCTCCTAGGTGCCTCTTCTTGGTCCCCAGACCATGCTCCTCCCCACTCCTCCCTCTCAGCCTTGCCTGTGAAGGCCCAGCGGAGCTGGGTCTCGGCCCTGACCTCTTGATCAGCAGCTTTAGCCTGTGTTTCCTTTGGTTCCTGGGTGGCCTCGGAGCCCCACCTCTGAACCTCTGCCTCCATCCCGCGTTTGCCAGTCTCTTCCCCCTAGTCCTGCTCTCAGCCACGCCAGTGCCCTAGAACCATGAAGCTGCCACACGTTCCCCTCCCGCCCACCCCAGTTATGAGCATCTTCGTATCTGCCCTTCTGCACTCAGCCTTGTTGGATGGCAGTGCTGGTCCCGGCTGGAACACCAGTGCGTGTCCCTCCGCGCACCATGTGAGCTGCTGCCCTCCCCTAGCCCTCCAGTGCATGAGTATTGGTTCTTTAAAACCTGCCTTTTCATCTTCATGAATAAGTAAAGCTCACCAGAATCCAGAATCCCTCCCCCAGAAGGGCAGAAGGAAGCAGAGCCGCCCAGCAGATAAGTGAGCATGGCCTGTGCGTGGCACAGATGCCACATTCCTCACACCGACCAGGCCTCTCCTGGGCCTGCAGACCTACTGTGCACAGTCAGCGTGCTCTGTTTCTCTTACCAGACCACCCCACCCCATGGCCTCCCTCCCATGCTGCGCACTTCCCCGGGGAACAGTGTCCCCATCCCACGATGGGAAGAGGCGCTATCAAGACCAGAATCATTGAGAAACACCCTATTTTTTTCACTATTACTAATTCTACAACATCAAATAAAAGTAATTAAATTCCTCCCAAGCATAGTCCTGTTAACTAACGACACAGCCGTTGATTTTGCAATGAAATTACGGGAACTCTGTGCTCCCCTGGAACAAAGCAAGCCTTCCTATGCTGCTCTTGTATAGCTGAGATTGCCCACTGTATCCTGTGAGCAGCCTGAAAGATGCATACAAATGGAAGGATGACGGTAAATTCAGCAGCGCTGTGACGCACCTTGGAGAGGTGAGGGCACCAAATCAACATCCCCAACAAAAGGTCAATATGCTTTCTCACCCGCCCAGTGGTAACAGCATCATGAGGGCTGGGAAGGAAATAAACAGCCCCATTTTTCTGAATGCCCCCAACTGCAGGGTAGAATTGGGTCAAACCACACTACCTTGAGGCATGGGAAAGGCTCTGCTGGGCACTTGGCCACGTACCTCCAGTCCTCATTGCTCACAGGGACAATACATTTATCCATCCTTCAAAACCAGCCTGCAGCTGGTGCTGTGGCTGCTGGGGCTACAGCAGCAGTTTGGACTCTGCAGCTAGGAGTCTCGGTGGCAGGTGTGTGAAATGATGGTGGCAATGGAAGATCAGTATAGCCTCGCCGGCTGCTTCTCCATCTCATGCTGGATCCACCCTCACTCCCACTTAACCATTCTTACATATTCTTCAGTCCCTTCCATCCATACACTAGATTGAGCTTCCTACTTGCAAGGCTTCTCAGCATACTGAACTTTTCCCCATAGCGCTGAACACAGTCGGTGACTGTAGAGTTACTTGTGCAGATTACACAGTGCTCCCACATATGGTTGTGTAAACCATGCAGTGCACAAGGGGATGAGTGAGTGCTGGGACCCAGGCTGCACTCCAGTGCCCCACACACCTGCAGCACCTTAGAAGGTGTGCAATAAATATGCATCAAGTGAGGCCCCAGTGTGGCCATGGCAAATCCCTACCCTAAGTTGAGTTCACCCAGCTCGTAGACATAAGTCTGCTTGGTGCCTGAGCTGTAAGTCCTGCTGATGCACTCAGCACAGTCGGTAGCCCAAAGTATACACAACGGGTTAAAACTCACAATGATACAGAGAAAACCCTAAGGATTCCACCAAAAAAACTACTAGAAATAATAAACAAATGCAGTAAAGGCAGAGTATAAAGTCAATATGCAAAAATCTGTTGTGTTTCTATACAGTAACAATGAGCTAGCAAAAAGAGAAACCAGGAAAACAATCCTTGCTGCCCCGACACTGCACACTCCTCGTAGAACCAGATGCAATTTTTTTTTCAGTTGATTTTTTAGCGGAAACTCTACAGGCCAGAAGAGAGTGGCATGATATATTTAAAGTGATGAAAGGGAAAAACTTAGAACCAAGAATACTCCATCCAGCAAGGCTCTCATTCAGATTTGATGGAGAAATCAAAAGCTTCACACATAAACAATAGCTAAAAGAACTCAGCACCACCAAACCAGCTTTACAACAAATGTTAAAAGCAATTCTCTAGTCATCAAACCATAAGAACAAAAACAAGAAAGAGAAAAAGAAGACCTACAAAATACTGCTTTGGCAATTTGGAGTCTTTCATGGCTCCATATAGATTTTGGAATTGTTTGTTCTAGTTCTGTTTGAAAAAAAAGTTGTGGGTGTTTTGACGAAGGTTGCATTGGATCTGTGGGTTGCTTTGGATAGTATGGTCATTTTGATAGCGTTGATTCTTCCAATCCAAGAGCACAAGATATCTTTCCATCTCTTTGTATCATCTTCAATTTCCTTCATCATTTTATAGTTTTCAGAGTATAGGCAACCTCCTTGGTTAAGTTTATTTCTAGGTATTTTGTTGTTTTGGATACAATGGAAATGCTTATGCCAGTTAACAAATTCTGGGTTTTGAAGTTAAAAAAAAAGTGAATGAAGGGCAGCAAATGGCAAAATATCCTATTTTGTGGGTGAGTTGTGTTCCATTGCATACATATGCTACATCTTTGTTCATTCATCTGTTGATGTGCACTTGGGATGCTTCCATGTCTTGGCTATTGTAAATAGTGTTGCTGTTAATAGTGGGGTGTATGTGTCTTTTTGAATTAATGTTTTTGTTTTTCTTGGATATATGCCCAGGAATGGAATTGCTGGGCCATGTGGTGGTTCTATTTTTGGGTTTTTGAGAAACCTCCATGCTGTTTTCCATAGTGGCTCCACCAATTTACATTCCCACCAACAGTGTACAAGGGTTCCCTTTTCTCCACATTCTTGTCAAGATTTGTTACTTGTTTGTTTGTTTGTTTGCTTTTTTTTGATGACGGCCATTCTAACAGGTGTGAGATGATGTCCTGTGGGCCATCTGTATTTCCTCTTTTGGAAAAATGTCTGTTCAGTTCTTCTCCTCATATTTTAAATGAGTTGTTGTTCATTTGCTTTTTAATTGAAATATAGTTGATTTAAAATGTCTTAGTTTCCGGCATACAGCATGGTTGGACTTAAGAGAGCATTATGCTAAGTGAAATAAGTCAGACAGGGAAAGACGATATTGTAAGATATTACTTACATATGGAATCTAAAAAAATACAACAAACTAGTGAATATAATAGAAAAGAATCAGACTCACAGATGTAGCAAAGAAACCACTGGTTACCAGTGGGGAGAAGGAAGGGGGAGGGGCAAGATAGAGGTGGAGGATTAAGAGGTACAAACTATCAGGTATAAAACAAGCTACATGGGGAATATAGCCAATATTTTATAATAACTATATATGAATTATGACCTTAAAAATTTGTGAATCACTATATTGTATGCCTGTAATATATAATATTGTACAACTATACTGCAATTCAAAAAACATGATATTGCAAAATAAATACATAATTTTTTTAAATGGTTAAAGTAAAAAAAATAAGGAACTTACTAGAATAGGTAGAAAAATAGTAGGTGAGGGTTGGGAAGCCC